TCTTCCTCGGGGGTAACTAGGCTTTGGTACTTGTGGTTCCTTTTACCTCATCTCCCTAATGTAGTCATCATCCACATCAATGTGGGCCCCCTCACCTATGTCTTGATAGCCCCCATTCACAATCTCCATATTGGATTAAAACTCCCTCACCAACTCCTTCACCGCATCGCCAACATTCCTCAAATACAAACTCCAACCCCTAGCCTTCACGATCGCAAAAATACTCAAATCCACAAAATTCCACAACACAACTGTTCATTCATAAACAATGGCTTGGTTTCGAAAGAAATTTTTGTACCTATCCACTTTGAAAGCATTGGGGAAATGAGTTCTATCGTACCTTCGGACCAAAAGTGGCCTTTCCTCCCTTTGCTCGATCATTTCTTCCACAATATTGAGCTCTTGGTTGGTCCTCTTGTGCCTAGAGGACATTTCATTCTTGGAGGCATTTTTTTGGATTTTGGGGTTTGGGGGCTTGAAAAATTGGGATTTGTTTTTGTTAAAATGTGACAAATGAATTGGAAAAGGGTTTTGGATGGTGGATTTTGGGTAGAAATTGAGAGGGGATGAAGATTTGAGGCTTGGGTAGTAAAGGGTCACCCTAGGATTTGAAGAACTTGAGGGGTTTTGGATGATTTTAAAATGGAGAAGACGAACCAGGCTTTTATACCTAAACAAACAATGTTTGAATGTTACTGACATTCAAACGTAGATAGAAGGAATTTTAAAAGATGGTTCGAACGTTATACTTTCGTTCGAATGACAGTTGCTCCTAGTACTTTTGAGTTCCTGCAGAGGCCAACGTCTTGTAAGCTCCTTATGTTCAAACGTGAAAATGGCATTCGAACTTTGAATCTTATTTCAAACTTTACAAAAAAAGTTCGGACCATTAACCTTCATCCCGAAAACAACATGATTTTCCACAATTTTGTTAGGAAGCATTCTAATCCGAGTTTTGCCCTGGCTCAATGTCATTTGAACAGTCAGTGACTCTCCCTATTTCTTGCCACACAAAACGTGTAAGCATAGGGCTGGAATAGCATGGCTTCTCAGGATAATCCTTCTGCCCATTCACTATCCAGTCTAATTGATCGAGTGTGCAACCAGAAATTGGTTTAGAACACTGATTATATTACTTCATGTGAAAGATCCTGTCACATTGTTTATAGGCACCAAGTCTTTTGTCACAACGACGTTTAGCAAAAGTGCTTTTGCCACACAGTGGTTTTGCTTGCTCTTTTCGAATTTTGGTTTTTCTTATCAATTTTGCCTTTCTCATTATCACAGCATGCACATCAGATGGAAAAATACGTAAAATGCCCAAACTAAACCAAAAAATCATTCTATCCATGCTTTTTTATGCTTAGGACACCCTATCTAGTTCTTTAACGTCTGCCAGTCATAAAGACGATTAAAGCTGACTTAAAGACATGATTGTAAAATTATACGAAATACAAGACAAAATACGCAATATGATCAAGCATAAATTTAAAAAAAAAAACACAAAATATGAATTGTAGTTCTCACTCCCAACCTAAACTGAACATTGTCCCCAATGTTTTGAATTTACCAATATATGCAACAGGAAGATAAGGTTGAAGGTTGAAAGTAAAATCATCTTTGGAGAAATTAGGGTTTCGTATAGACTAGAAACCCTTGTGTGTGAGTGCAAACGGAAGCAAGTTACCCATAAGCAAATACAAAATTAAAATGCAAAACATGAAACAAAGGATTGTGTCTGTGGAGTGTGTGGCCATGGGGTTGGAGAGCATGGATCGTTTGAAGAGAAAAAGGAAGAAGAAGAAGAAGAACAACAACAACAACGATAGATAGGGAAAAAGGGAGTAGGGTTGGAGGCCTTATAAAGGCGTCATTTTGGGTCGGGTTGGGTCGAATTTTTCCTGACCCGACCCATTTTTGTGTCGGCAGGTGCAAATCTTGATGAATATTCTGGACCATTAAAAAAAATAGTTTCCACATCTTTAACAAAGTCTTCAAAAAATGGTTTCAAATGTTGGCCATTGACAGTAAAAATATTGTCATTTGACAGATTATCCACTTCCACTGCTCCATGTCCAAACACTTGTTTGACAATGTAAGGCCTAGTTTACCTTGCCCTCAACTTACTAGGAAATAGACAGAGCCTTGAATTGAATAACACGACTTTTTGTGAAGGGGCAAAGGATTTTTTCACTATGTTTTTATCATGATAGACTTTCATCCTTTCCTTTACAATTTTAGCATTGTCATATGCCTCATTTCGCAACTCTTCCAATTCATTAATATGAAGTTTTCTTGAGATTTCAGCCTTGTCTAGGTCAAAGTTAATTGTTTTAATGACCCATTATGCTCTGTATTCCACTCCCATAGGTAGGTGATAAGGCTTCCCATAGATTAATTGATAAGGAGACAAGCCCAAAATTGTTTTAGCAACAGTGCGATATGCCTAGAGTGCATCAGGTAGTCTTGATGACCAATCTTTGTGGTCTATATTTACTGTTTGTTTTAAAATCAGTTTGATCTCTCGATTAGCTAATTCAGCCTGTCCATTAGTCTGTGGATGATAAGAGGTTGCAATTTTATGAGCAATCAAGTACTTTTTCATCAAATTCCAAAAAAGGACGATTGAAAAAATGAGCACCCCCATCACTTATAATGAATTTAGGAATTTCAAACTAGGACGAAATATTTTCTTTTAAAAATTTGTTCACTATTTAGTGATCATTATTTTGGCATGGAATTGCTTCAACCTATTTGGATACATAATCAACAGCCACTAAAATATATAGATAGCCAAAGGAAGGGGGAATGGTCTCATAAAATCGACGGGGGAATGGTCTCATAAAATTTGTTCACATAATCAACAACCACTAAAATAAATATCTACGTAGTTATCATTCTAGATTCCATTACTTATATTCAAAGCATCATATATTGCAAAACTAGTTTTTATTGAATATTTTCCATCCGAGTGAATTTGATTATGAGCTTCGATGATTTATAAATGAGAATCAATAAAGATGATTATGATAAGATTATTCTCGATGATTGGCCGATTATTTTCATTTGAATTTACTATGCTAGTTGTTACGCTCAACATTTTCCACTCAACCAAAGGATTTTTATTTATTTTTTGCAAAAGCACCACCATTCAAGCTACCATTTGTCCTTGAGGAGATGACCTTGAATTTTCTGAGTTAGTACACTACACATTTCCTACACTTGGGAAACACATTTATACATATCAGAGGTGCAAGCATATTTTGAGAGGAACAATTGAATCATTCTAGGAGATTTTTTTTATGAACTAAAACATCTTTGGAAAGGAAGTAAACAATCAGAGGTTCATCAATGTTCTTAAGAACCCTCCTTAGGAGTTAACCGCTATCACTAGCCCTTGGCCTTTCGCAAAATGGAAAATTGATATAGTCAAACCTTTGCCTACTGGAAAGGGGTATAATAGGTTCCTAGCATTGGCCATTGGCTAATGTATCAAGTGGTCAGAAATACAACCGCTGGCCACTATCATAGAGCAAATACTAAGAAGTTTGTGTGGAAGTCAATTATTTGCTGACTCGGGTCCCTAGATTCTTGATAATTGACAATGACAAGTAATTCAATAATGACACCTTTCACATAGTTCTGCTTAGACTTGGGAATTCAAAATCATAATGCATCCCCTATCCATCCCCAGGTCATCAAGAAGGCTGAATTTAGAATCAACATCAAGGCCTTTGGGTCTCAAGTAGGCAATCAGAAGTTAGAATTAGCTCTTGTGTTTTCCCTATCACACCAACTCCCTTAAACAACAAAAGGGATATGCCGAATACAAATTTGACTTCTTTTTAACCTTGTTTCTTATTGCAAGACTCTCAGTGTGGTTTGGTCCAAGTATTTCGGTCACATTGATTGTGCAGGAATCAACTATGCACTTTCATACTTCTTCTTTATCTCGTGGTCTATAGAGAATGTAATTTGGCTGCTCACTATCTTTCAAAATATGCAGTTTGAATTCCAATTTTTGGAAGAATGAATGTCCTGTATTTTTTGTTAAATTCCCTCAAAATTGAATTTGGCGTTGAATTATTATGCTTGAATTTCTTGTTTTGCCCTCTGAGACAAGATCTTTGCCCCATACCACAGCACGACTAGGTAGTCCAACCCAACCCAACCCCGCCAAACTTCACCCATAATTGAAATTCTACGAAACAGCACAAACAAACATGAATTCTCATTTGTTGTCTTACTCTAACTCTATTCACTTAGTTGTGTCATTGTCATTAGAGACTGTATGGAGGATAACATGGAGATTCAAAAAGTATGACACGTATGAGAATACTACTTTAGCGAAGAGATTTTTGTCTTCAAATTCAGCTTTCATGTTGATTTCCCCTGCCAAAGAAGAAGGATCTAGTCTTAGGTAGCTTCTTTTTCCAAGGAAACCCAATTAGCTATTCTTGGTGTCATGGTATCTCTCTCTCTCGCTCTCTTTCTTAACCTTTCATTTTAGACCAATTTTTATATAAAATTCCTAAATTCAATTGCATTTTTATTTTATTCCATGTGAACATAAAGTCTACTATGGTAATATCGACATTTGTAAGACAATTTTAGCTCGAATACGCCATCAATCCTTTTCCCTCAAAGATAAATTTTGTGAATATACCATAAGAGATTCGTCAATGTTCTTAGGAACCCTCCTCAGGATCTAACCTTTATCAATAGCCCTTGGTCATCCACACAATGGGGAATTGATATAGTCAGACCTTTGCCTACTAGAAAGAGGAAGAACAAGTTCACAATGGTGGCCATTGACTACTTTACCAAGCGGTCAGAAGTAGAGCCATTGGCTACTTTCAAGGAGCAAATATTTAGAAGCTTTGTATGAAAGTTAATTATTTGTCGACTAGGGGTCCCAGAGTCATGAAAATTTTCGACGACATGTAATTCAAAAATGGAACCTTCATAGATTTCTACTTAAACTGGGGAATTCAAAATCATTATTCATCCCCTATCCAACCTCGAGCCAATGGGCAGGCTGAAGTCCGAATAAACATCAAGGCCTTTGGGTCATAGGCAGGCAATCTAAACCTAGATTTGCAAGGGATATACCACATGCAAATCTGCCACCAAGCTTCACTCGCAATTGAAATTCTACCAAGACCACTAGCCAATCCAATCCCAACTCCACCAAGCTTCACTCGCAATTGAAATTCTACCAAATAGCAAAGACAAATAGGGGTTCTCATTCATTGTTTTACTTTCACTTTACTCACTCGGCTATTTCATTGTCGTTAGAGACTATACAGAGGATGAGAGGGAGAAAACTACAAAGTAGAAAAATACAACAATCCTTTCATACAAGTAAATCGCCAAACAGTCAAAATGCAACAATCACAATGCAATTAAAGAAATAGACTTGGGCAAGATAAAACGAAACAACTATAGTACTTTTCATTAATTACTTCCAAAAGTTCACTACAAGGATTTAGAATTCAAAAACAAAATGACCCAAAATCGTAGAGACTCTTTCACTAGGCCGATAATTCTAATCCTAACTGTGCAACAACTAAAACCAAAACAAACAAACAAAAAACAACCCCTTACTCATCATCCACATCCATAGCCCCATCATCATCGCTCTTATACTCACTCTCCTCCTTGTCACTGGAGTCATCGTCGTTGGACCTCTCCACCTCGACAACTGTAGAAGTCATGTGGGCGAAGATAGAAGGTCCGATCAGAGGAGGAAGAGGCGGAGGTACACCAAGAATCAGCTCTCCTAAGAAGGTGTGCTAAAAGATCCTAGTCATCATCAGTGATAGCCCCTGCATCTTCCACTCTAAAATGTCTAAACGATGTGAAACTGTACGGACCAGGACAGAGGTGGAAAGCCCAAAAGTAGATAGCCTAGCAAATGATGTCTTAGATCTCGGGGCTCTAACTTTCTCCCCTCTACTTATTGTTGTCCGCTTACATCAGAGACATGCCTTTACCTTGCTGTGGTAGCACATCCTAGTGACTAGATTGCGAATGATAGATTTGCCTTCAGCTTTCTAGCCTAAGCAAACTCCTTCATAATCTCACAGATCAACAAGGCCACATCTGTAGCCTTTCTAGTCATAAACTCATGAAGGAGGGCAAGCTTCTCCATATTCAGGTCCTTCTCTGCACCCCTGGGGATCAAATTGTAATGCAAGACCTTATTCATAATCCTGTATGAATGCTTGAGGCCCCCGACTCGAATTGTCCATTTGAATTGGGTCAGGTCCTCGTAGGTCAGCGCTAAATACTCAGGGATTGATTTTACCCCTTGAATGTTGTGCAGATACACCGAGGTGTTAGGGGAGGCCTTTGGTACTTCATTAAGCCTGTAATCAACCTTAGGGTCACATCAAAAACTTTACCCCTCATATTTTTCTTGAGAATACAATTATCCTCGTCCACCACATGTAATCTCTTATAAATCTCTCTACACATAGCCAAGTTGTACCCACTGACTGGCTTAAACCAAATTCTAATCCCGTGTCCTTCAATCACTCTCACCACCCGGTGATGCAGCTAGAGAGTGATCACATCAATGAAACGCTCACACGTGACATTTTTCTCATCAATACTCTGGTTGCGAGCATCTTTTTGTGCCTTCTTTCTCCTCTCTCCTCTATCTTTGCTAGAGCCCTCCTCAGTCCTCTTGCGGGAACTAGTGCCCGCGGTTGGTGTAGGACCCAGACCCATGCGTTTTGTTCGAGCCATGAGAAGCAACAGTGCCCTAAATGCTATGAATGACAAAATCCACATCAAAAGCCTCTCAATGGGATCAAAAGCATCCAATAGAGACCTTCCCTAAACAAGTCATTGCAATAGAATCAAAGCTTTTGGAGAAGTTTAAGTGAAATGAATTTTTAGGGAAAATGGAAGATTTAATTGTTGGGTGATGATTCTTTGGAGCTTTGAAAAGTTTGGAGAGGGAGAGAAATGCTTGGGAGGTCGATGGTTATGGAGGATATGAACAGTTCCCTAAAAAAATGAACTTAAAACCCTCGTTTTCAGCTTTCTGGGCAAAACTTATCGGCAGGTTGATCAAAATCTATTGGAAGTTTTTGTGCACTAGAAAAATACCTACCGTTAGGTTTTGGCCTAAAACTACCGGTAGTTTTTAACTTGTTTGCAAAAAACCTATGTGCTCCCATTCTCACTTCCACTCCAATCTACATCAACCTTTACACATTCTTAGACCCTGTTCTGCCAAAAACATGAAGTACTCTTGTGAACGACAATTGAGTGACCATGCCCCAAGTCATTTCTGAAATTACAATATAATTTAAAATTTTGATGCTTTCAACACCCAAGGCATGGATTTCTACATTTAACTACCAAAATAAATACCCAAAATGTAAAGCATATATTCAAGAGATAAAGGTATCCCTAATTGTATCCAATATCTAAAATTTGAGTGCTATTCCCCTATCCTACAAGCCTAGGGTTGCATAACACATTGTTCAAATACCCAAATGAAGTACACATGAGCATCACTATGGCTTTAAATGCTATTTTAAAGTAGCACCTACACATTCATTTTCAAACTCGTGTGTGTGTGGAGTGAACATGTAATTTAAAAATTTATCCGAAGGAATTCACATTCACTTTGGCTATCCAAAATAAGTTTTGATGCAAAACTCACCAAGGGTTTCTCTCAACAATGAATCACACTATGGTTAACCTAGCATGCTCACCATGTGTATATGTGAGATAGAATCATGTGTACAAAATGAAGTATGCTCACATATAGTCCAAAAATGAAGTTCATGCATAAAAATGAAACAACGTTGGCATAATCTTATGAAAGGAATGTTAGGGCACTATATAGCTAAATCAACTCTTTTTTTCTTAAAGTATGCTTTCCCCATGCTATCTCTAGATCATTTATGGATTTTAAAGGTTGTAATAAGGCCTTGGGATGATATTGAGGTAAGTGAGACGAAGGATAGAGGATAACAGAGAGGGTTATGTCCAAGTGAATGACCTTTATTTCAAAAAAAAAAAATCTCCCTTTTTATGGGATTTCAGTCTAACACCATCACTTCACTCTTCGTTTCTTTTTCTTTTTTTCCTTAACATTTTCCTTTTTCTTTTCTCGTTCTTTCTTCTTTCACCCTTTTTCTCTCTTTTTTCTTGGATTTTTCATTATTTTTCATTTAATATTTGAATTTGGCATCATTCATCTCTTATGTTGGGTTCCTGCACCACCATTCCTTCTCTTTTATGATCAATCATAGTCAGCTCTCGGAACAACGAAGGTGTTGTAAATTTTTATCATTTTGCACTGGCTTGGTCATTTGTGTGCATGGAAATGAATTTTTATTCATGACACTGGGGATAATATTTTCACAAGAATCAAGGGTAAATGCTCAAAGTAAATCAAAGATGACCTAAGATCATTTCCAGATAAGCATAGGGGAGCATTTTGCATTTCAAAACAAAGTCAATCAACTACCCAAATGCACTCTAACCATAGTAAGCATAATGAGATTATTGAATAGATTTAAATTTGAAAAATTGTTCTTTTGAGTAAATATAAGTTCCCTCCAACAAGGATTGACACTAAAGCTCTCATGGGTCCTTTACTCATCTCCACTATTCATGTCAAGTACTAAAATGTAAATCTAATCCATAAATTGCCAAAATTACACATTAATGGTGTACTTATGGTTGGGTTCAAAAGAAAACAAGCATATGATACTCTTAGGATAGGATAAACTTCTATAATGTACTCATGTATTCACAATTCAAAGGAAAGATCAAAATATCAATAAAACCACAACACTCTAAATAGGGAAATATAGGCCAACATTAAGATATTTTCACAAAAAAGTTTCAAAATTTTCACATATTTCTCAACTATTGTAAACAAGGATCTGTAGAACATGTGAATGGTGAATTTCCCCACAAAATGGTATAACCAACAAAAAAAATTTCACAAAAAATTGGTGTATCATAGAAATGGTGCACCTCACCCCCCAACTTGCTTCATGCATTTCCCTCAATGCAAAAAAAAAGATAAGATATGCAATGATGGACTTAAAAAGATGATTAGTGTTAGAGAACACTTCGCATGGAGCTTTGACAAGAAACACCATAATCTGCACATTTAAAGGAAGCAAACTACACAAAGATGAAAGTAAGTAAACAAAATAACTTGGAAAGTCAATGATAAAAGAAAAAGATTGTACACTAAAATCTACATGAACAGTTAATCCTCCAAAAGGTCTGGGTAAACCGGATCTGCCAACTCTTCCTCCACCTTTTGACCTTCAAAACCCTCAAAGAATGGCTTAAGTCTTTGGTCATTGACCTTGAATGTTTTTCCATCCTTGGTTTTTGTGATTTCCACTACTCCATTGGGGTAGGCCACCTTGACAAGATAGGGCTTTCCCAACAGGGTCGGAGTTTTTCTTGGAAGATGGAGAGTCGAGAATTATACAAGAGCACTTTTTGTCCGGGCTCAAATGTTTTCCTTAAAATAGATTTGTCATGAAAAATCTTACCCCTTTCTTTGAAAATTCTTGAGCTCTTGTATGCATCTCTATGGATCTCCTCCAACTCATTCAACTCCAACTTCCTATTCTCTTTGACTATTCTCAAGTTGAAATTTAAGGTCTTAATGGCCCAATTGGTCTTGTACTATATTTCAACTGGCAAATGACAAGCCTTGCCATGAACTAGCCTATAAGGTGACATGCCTAGAATGGTGTTGTAAGCAGTGCGGTAAGCCTATAGGGCATCGATCAACCTAAGTGACAAATCCTTCCTATTAGGGTGGACCTCCTCCACCTCCAATTGGACCATTTACCTCCGCTGCCATTCCTTGTATGATTGTTGAGCTAGGAGAGTCTGACGACGATGATGATGACGAGGATGAGGGGAGTAAGTCCAAAAGTGATGTTGAGGATGAGGATGCTTTCGATGATGATGATGGGGGATGAGAGTGATGATTTGGATGTTCTCTTGTGGTTAGTTTCTTTTCATTTTAGGTTGTACAGTTAGGGTTAATTTTGTCGGCCTAGTAGAAGTAACTTTACTATTTTGGGCCATTTTGTTTTTGAAACTCTAATCTGTTGTATTAAAATTTTGTGAATGATTAATGAAAAATACCATAGTTGTTTCAT